AACTTGTTACAGCGTTTTCTTGTTTTAGTTGTTGTAAAATTTTTGATGTTTTGTCCTCCTGGTTGGTTTTGATTAGGAAGTAATTATCTTGTCTGATAATCACATCCTTGTTGTTGGGGTTGAGTTCCTCCCACCTGATTGCAAGTTGGACTCTGGTGATGGTCGACAATGCGTTCGCTGTAAATGTGTGCGAATACGTGGGAAATCTTGTTGATGTTGTCTTGCTGTTTGTTGTAGATAATTTCATACTGAGTTTATTATTGAACAGTCTTGGATAAACTAAATTATACAGGGTCTTCGGGAATAATGTCGAGATATTTTGGGAGCTGACTGGAGATTAAAATAATAAAAAGTTTCTTCTCAGCAGATCGCCGAAATTGCTTTACAAAACAATTGGAAGCTTTTGAATCGAAAACGATGTAGATATGACTAGGGTAACATTTCTAATGGGTTTGAGCTACAATTACGAGTCGATATTCTTTAATTTTCAATTGCAGTTAGGGGCGTACATACATTAGTGAATTCACTTTTGATTCAAGAGGAATGAATCAAAATTGTATTATCCATGTATAATTAAAATACATACCTAGAATAGGTTGAGCATCCAATGTTACCAAGGTATGATCTGAAGTGGGTAGATCTATAATAAATTTCTGAATATCTTCGTGCCCTTTCACTCCATTTCCATTCCAGGACAAAAGTCCTGTCTCTAAATAGAGTCGTGATATTAACTGAAATGCGCAACAAGGTTAGAAATGTAAAATGTTTAATTAATTAGCATAGTATAGCTTACATGTCTTCGTTTATCGATAGTATCGTAATAAAGTTTTGTAAAATCTTCAGCGACTCTGCATGCTTGGTCAATTTTAGCTTTGATCTGTAACAAGAAAGTATTACTATTTGATACAACTTCACTAACTTAAGGAACTTGCCTCCATATTAGACATGGTAGATTTATTATTATTTTTCTAATAAGCAGGGTATTATTTAATAAAATTATTTTCTTTTGAAAACACCTCTTGATCTTTTCAACTCGAGCTACCAAAATTAGCAAATAAACACGAATGTTGATCACCAGTTGATCACTACAAGTAAACACAGATCACAGAGGTTACTCTGTGATCTGTGCAAGTAACATGAACATGAACTTAACCTAAACGTTTGCAACAGCTGAATGCGGTGCTGTCGTAGTTTAAAAGTTCCCAAAAACCGAGGCGAAAAATTCGTAATTGCGGTGATGAAATTTTTCCCCTTTTGCAACCGCGAAACTGACAGACATTGAGGAAAAGAAAAGCAGTTAATTTCAAAGAGTAAAAATAAGTCGAAAACTGCATTTACTAAAAACACCACTAACAAAAGTTGTTGGCAGAGGGATCTTTTCATAAGGTAAACCTATTTTTAACTGC